TCAGCGATAAAGAATATGAATCTTCCTGAGATCCCAAAAAATATTAACATTGGTGACATCAGTATAAAAGTGCCAGACCTGCCCTCTTTTAAATAAAAAATTTAAAAGGCTACTCCCAGGTAAAATCCAAGGGAGCAAGTGATCCAAGTTTACCATGCAGTTGTTTACTAAAAATAGAGGAGGAGAGTCTTAACTTTTGCCCTTGGATTTAAGTCAAGGTACTGTATAGAAATTGTATAAAATCAGTATGTGAAGTTCAATGTTGCTTTCCTTGCTAAGTGATTTTAAAGAAATGGAATAGTTTCCATGCAATTTTCTTTTTTTAAATTTTTTATTTTATTTTTATTTTATTATTTTTGTGTGAGTGTACCGTCAAATCAGATCTGACTGGTACAGGAGGAGATTGTCCCTCCTTCCCCTGCAGAGCATCTGGTGGATTCGAACCGTGTGCCTCTGGGATTGTAGTTGCAGCTCCTTACCACTAGGCCACCAGAGCTCCCCTTCTTTTTTCTTTTCTAAACTGCATTCCTATGCCCTCCTAAGGCATGCTGCCTCTTATATATTGGCTACTGCAGTATTTTGAAAGTATTTGAGATATTTCTTTAATTATGTACAACTCCAAATGTTGATGTTTTGTGTGGATCACAAGTACAGCATTCTTTAATTCTTTCTGCTATTTGTCATAATTGTTATTTAAAAAACCAAGTATGTATTGCATGAAAACATTCTGACCTTTAAATAAACTCCAAGGTAACTGGACTTATAAAGGAAAAACAAAAGAAAAAACAAAAACAAAAAAAGAAAACTATTACAATAGAGCACACTTAGAACAGATATAACACCTAAGGCTGAGCCCTCAAATTTGGAAACACAAATAAGGAGAACAGTTGTAAGCAGACAGAAGTGATTGGAAAGTGGAATGTGAGAAGCATGAATGTAGGGAAATTGGACATTTTTAGGAAATAAATAGAATGCATAAATATTGACATTCTAAGTATTGGCAAAATGAGATGGATTGGCATGGAACATTTTGAATCAGACAATAATATGAAAAGGTGAGAAAAAATGGGGTTGCTTTCATAGGATCATCTTTAGATCCATCTTGAAATACAATGTTGTGAGTTGCAGGATACTATTCATACACATACAAGGAAGTCGTGAATATCACTATCATTCAAATATATACACCAACAACTAGAGCCATAAAGGACAATACAGATGATTGTTATCAAATTTTGAAGTCAGAAACTGATCAAACATGCAACCAAGATGCATTTATAATAATGGGTTACTAAAAAGGCAAAAGTTGAGAACAGGGAAGAAGCATCAGTATTTGGAAAACATGGACTAAGTGACAGAAACAAGGATGGAGATTGATAGAATTTTATACAAGCAGTGATTTATTCATTGCAAATAGCTTTTATAAAAAATATAAATAGCAACTGTGCACATAGATTTCACCTGATGGTATGCACAGGAATTAGATCAATCATATCTATGAAAAGAATTGTTGAAAAAGAAAATCGCTGTGAAAACTAGGCTAGGTGCAGACTGAGGAACAGACCATCAACTTCTCACATGCAAGTTCAAACTAAAGCAAAAAGGTTATATAAAATCCACAGGCACTAAAATTTGACCTTGAGTGTATCCCACCTGAATTTAAAAATAATCTTTGGAACATATTTGAAACCTTGAACACTAATGAATGAAGACCAGGTGAACTGTGGGAGGATATAAAGAATATCATCCAATAAAAAGTACAAAAGGTCATTACAAAGATGGAGGAATAAGAAAAGACCAAGATAGATGTCAGGAGACACTCTGAATGTTGCACAAGAATGCTGAGAAGCCAAAGTAAAGGGAGGAAAGCAGGAAGTTAAGGAACTGAACAGAAGATTTGAAAGGGCACTTCATGAAGACAAAGTATCGTAATGAAATGTGCAAAGAGCTGCAGTCAGAAGATCAAAAGGAACAAACTTGCTTGGCATTTCTTCAGCTGAAGGAACTGAAGAACAAATTCAAGCGTTGAGTTGCAATACTAAGAATACTAAGGGCAGAATATTTAAGAATCCAAGAAGCATTAAAAGAAGTTGAAAAGAGTGCACAGCGTCACTGCACCAAAAAGAATTGGCTGACACAGAAGAATGAAACAGCATATGATCAAGAAGCAATGGTGATGAAGAAGGAAGTTCAAGCTGCTCTGAAGGACATGGCAAAAAAACAAGGCCCCAGGAATTGATGGAATACCAACTGACATATTTCAACAAACAGATGCTGCCCAGGACATGCTCACCAGACTATGCCAAGAAATCTAGAGGACAACTATGTGGCCAACTGACTGGAAGAGATCCATATTTAATCCCATTCCAAAAAAGGTCACTTGTCAGAGTGTGGAAATTATGTAACAATATCACTAATACCACATGTAAGCAAAATCCTGCTGAAGATTATTCAAATACAACTGGAACAGTACATTGACAGAGAAGTACCAGAAATACAAGCCCATATTAGAAGAGACTGTGGCATTAGATTATTGCCAACATCAGATAGGTCTTGGTTGAAAGCAAAGAGTACCAGAGGAATGTCTATTTGTGTTTCATTGATTATGGAAAGGCATTTGATTATATGGATCACAACAAACTGTGGCTAATCTTGAGGAGAATGGAAATCCCAGAATACTTGATTGTGCTCATGCGAAACCTATACGTAGACCAGGAAGCAGTCGTCAGAACAGGCCAGTGCGAACAGGTCAGGAAAACACTGCATAGCTCAAAATCAGGAAAGGAGAACGTCAGGGATGCATCCTGTCTCCATACATTTTCAATCTGTATGTGGAACACATTATCCAGGAGGCTAGACTTTAGGAGGAGGAATGTGGCATCAGGATTGGAGGAAGACTCAACAGTCTGCATTATGTAGATGACACAACCTTGCTTGCCAAACTGAAGAAGACCTGAAGCATTTGCTGCAGAAGATCAAAGACTGTAGTCTTCAATATGGGTTGAAGCTCATTGCCAGAAGACAAGATTCTCACCACTGGGTCAATTGGTAGCACCATGATAGATGGAGAAGAGATTGAGGTTGTAAACAATATCAGCTTCCTTGATTCCATAATCAATCAACATTCTTGGCACCAGCAATCAGGAAATCAAAAGAAATGGCTTTGGGGAAGTGTGCTGTCAGAGACATTTCCAGAGTGCTAAAGAACAATGATGTCAGTCTAGCAACTAAGGTGTGTCTGATCCAGGAAATAGTCTTCACAATTAGTTACTTTGCATAAGAGAGCTGGACAATGACTAAGATGAAAGAAGAAGAATTGATGCCTTTGAGTTATGGGGCTGGAAAAGAGTATTAAACATACTCTTGGACCACCAAGAGAACAAATAGGTCTGTCCTAGAGCAGATGAAAACAAGTTGCTCCATGGAGACAAGGATTTTGAAGCTCAGTCTCACATACTTTGGGCATGTGGCCAGGAGGGACCAGTCTCTGGAGAAGGACATCATGCTTGGAAGGGTGGAGGGACAGTGCAGGAGAGGAAAACCCCAGATGAGATGAATTGACATAGTAACTGGGGTAATGGGAGTAAGTGTGTCAGAGTCAGTGAGATTGTCTCAGCATAGAGCAAGGTTCAGAGCTATTGCACATAGGGTTGCTATAAGTCACAGGCGACTCAATGGCACCATAACAACAACAAAAGCTCCCTGCTAGTTCTGTGGTTTAAGTGTGGGGCAGCTAATAAAGAGATTGAGAGTTCGAACTTATCAATGGTTCTTGGGGAAAAAAAAGATGACTTCAAGTCAACTATGACTGATAATGTCCCCTAAGAACAACAGATCTGAACCTTGCCTTGTCCTGAACCTTCCTCATGAACCTTCTCTGCAGTTGTCCAGCTTACTGTGGTAGTCACTATGTCAGTCAGCCTATCTTGTTGAGAGTCTTCCTCTCTTTGACTGACCCTTCACCTTTCCCAGCATGATACCTCTCTTTAAGGATTCTTCAGGATAAACCTGAGAATATGCCCAAAATAAATGAAACCAAGTCTCACCCTTTGCCTCTACGGAGAATCCTGGTTGCGCTTTCTTTAAGACAAATTTGTTTGTTCGTTTATTATTTGGTATTCGTTGCGAACATTTCAATTCAAAAGCATCAATCCTTCAGTTTTCTTTATTCTTTGTCCAACTGTCAGATGCATAGGAAGCAGTTGAAAAGACCATGGTTTGGAGCAAGGGCATCTTAGTCTTTAAATGGAAATCCTTGCTCTTTAGAACTTTGGAGAGGTCCTGGACAGAAGATTTCCCCAGTGCCTATGGGTGTTGATTGTAAGCAGTTGTCCAGGAAGCTGTTGTTTGAACACAGCAAGGGAACACTGCATGGTTTAAAATCAAGAGAGGTGTACATCAGGACTGTATCCTTTCTCTATACCTGTTATACCTATGTATGCTGAGCAAATCATTTGAGGGGCTGGACTCTATGAAGAAAAATGGCTTCAGGAGGAAAATTCATCAGCAAGCTACATTGTACAGATGGCATAACCTTGCTTGAATAAAGTGAAGGGGATTTAAAACATACAAGGGTTTACAGCCTCTGAAGCCCTATGAAGCAGTTCTACTCTGTTCTATAGAGTTGTTACAAGTTGGAACTGAGTCAATGGTTTTAAGTTATCATGTACTAAATTAATATATGGGATTGTGTGTACTTATGTCAATAGTTGTTGAGTATCATTGAATCAGAACCAACCCATAGCCAACTCTCCAAGAGGATTTTCAAAGGCTATACATCACACAGGAGGAGATTGCTTGTCTTTATTCCACAGAGCAGCTGGTGGATTCTAACCATATACCTTTATGTTGGCAGCACATCTTCTTACCACTTACAGTACTTACTGTATTGTAAATGCACTGAACATCATTGAATTGTATTCTGTAAAATTGCAAATTGTGTGCTCTGTGACTTTTCCCTCCATCTCATACACATCTGCACACCCTGCTTTTTCTCCTAGACGGATACACAGGAGGTGGCCTCCGTGGTAAGTGCCCGAGAGATCCAAGCTGTGGCCGAGCTGCTGCAGATCTCCCCTGAAGGCCTGCAGAAGGCCATCACCTTCAAAGTGACAGTGAGTTTGCAAGTACTTGGGCTGCTTGGTGACACAGAATGTGATGTATTGGTTGGCTAATGGAAAAACCAGTAGTTCACATCCACCAGTCACTCCACTGCAGAAGGGTCAGCAGTCTCTTACCATGAAGATTTACAGTAAGGAAACGAAATGGAGGGTCCCTTTGTCAGGGCTGGCCCCTCTTGTAAGCCTAATCAGAGATCCTAATTGGACCTCATATCAAAGACTTGAGTTCCTCATAGCTCTCAGCCTCTGCAGAGGCTGGCCTTTCTGCCCCAAAAGGCTGTCCCTCTTGTAGTTGATGACTGGCCTAGACCCATTTGTCATCCCCTTCTAGGAGCCTCCTCTGACTTCTCTTTGAATCCCACAAACCCTGACCCTTCCTGAGGCTAATCTCATTGTGTTGCCATAGCTGCTTCTGCTTGTGTTCATGTTTCAACCAGCAGCCACCACCACTGCCAGTTTAGGTGGTCAGAGCAAGAGGAAGGCAGTCCACATCTGTTCTGCCTCTGGCTTGAAACTCGTCATACCTCTCTGGCTTATCTAATTTACCTACACCTTCCCTTCCCAATACTCTGGGAGTGTTTTATGGCTAAGAGTGCTGGTCTGCCTTCAGCTCAAGACCATATCATTCCCCAGGAGACAATACGAGAGAAGATCTTCACACCTCTGACTGTCGAAAGCGCTGTGGATGCTAGGTGAGGCCACTCCTACTCAACTAGCCCCTAGGCCATCAACTCCCCCCATGCCCTCTCTATAAAGCACTCTCTCTACTCTAGGGATGCCATTGCCAAGGTCTTGTATGCACTGCTGTTTGGATGGCTCATCACCAGAGTGAATGCACTAGTGTCCCCACAGCAGAATACGTTGTCCATTGCCATCCTGGACATCTATGGCTTTGAGGTATGGAGCAATGGAGGGTCATGTGGTGGTGGGGGATGCACTGACAAAGCTGCATTACTCTCAGTATTGCTGGTTGTCCCTTTCTACCCCCACTGCGCTCTGCCTCTAGCTTCTTCCCCCTTTCCTGGGTCTTTCCCTTATCCACTCTCCCAGACCTCAGGAGGGTGGGAATAGAGACTGGCAAGCACCAGGGACTTCCCATGGTGAGTCAGGAAGGCTTCCTGGAAGAAGAAACAACTCTGGGCTAATGCCTGAAGAGTCAGTGACAGTATTCTAAATGTGAGGAGCATCATATACCCAAAGTTGAGTGGCCGTGCATGGAGGTGCCGAGTTGAGTGTACAGTGAGGAACTGGTGGGACACAGGAAGGATACTAAGAATAGAAATAAGAGCTGGGGCATACATGGCACCTAGTACCTGTTCTCAGGTAGTATGGTACTGTTCTAAGTACTTGGTGATTACTGATTCACTTAATATGTGAAATAATTATCTTGAGACACATGCTTTCGTTACTTCCACTTTATATTTTGTGAAACTAGGGCATAGCTAGAAAATGTCAGAGCCAAGAAAGGAACCTGGCCAGGATGCAATCAGGGTCTCCTGGAGTCCCTATCTGTAGCTGCCCCCCATCAGGACTGCAGATGTCCTGCTCTACCTGTGTGATGGAGGCACAAGGAGGGTTCTGAGCAGCAAGTCTGTGGGCAGGCACGGATGGGAGGGTCTCTGGTCTGAGCTGGAAAGAGTAGACAGAGCTCGGGATGCTGACTGACCGAAAGGCTGGAGGGCAAAGCCCAACCCTCTCCTCGCACCTGGCAGGACCTGAGCTTCAACAGCTTTGAGCAGCTGTGCATCAATTACGCAAATGAGAATCTTCAGTACCTTTTCAACAAGATCGTCTTCCAGGAGGAACAGGTATGCAGGCTCTCAGCACAATTGACTGGCCACATCGGCTCAGGGGCTCCTTTGGAAACAGTCCAGGAGGAGTGGACCTCTGTGGTGAACCTGAGGCTGGCAGCAGGGTCAGCCCATGTGCTGGTGTTATAGAGCACAATGTGCTGGGGGCTGGACCCACAGGAGAGGTACTTTGGGGGTCCTTCTTACCCTCCGCAGAGCTGTCCCAGGCCCTGAGGTGGTTTATGTTCCTGCTTGATAATAGAAAGCATGTAAGCAGAGGTGACCTGGTCAGGCCACCTCCAAGTGGATCCAAGCCCTGAGCACCTGGGTGGGGGAGAGAGACGCCTGGGAGAAGACAGCTGAGCCTGTGGCACATGCTGCCTGCAGGAGGAATATGCCCGTGAGCAGATCGAGTGGGAGGAGATCAGCTTTGCCGACAACCAACTCTGTATCAACCTCATCTCACTGAAGCCCTATGGAATCCTGCGCATCCTGGATGACCAGTGCTGCTTTCCCCAGGTGAGCTTGGTTGGATCTCTCAGCAGCCACTGGGCCCTTCATTGCTTTCTGCTTTGGTCTGGGCAGGTGCTTGGGACATGCTATTTGTCATCACAGCCTGTGGGGATTGAGGCTGGGTTGGGGTGCTGGAGGCCCTACAGAAGGCCCTACTAGCCTACAGAACCAGAAAAGGCTTTCTGATAGAAGTGACCTTGGAGCTGAGTTCCATGCTTTGATCAAGAAGCATGGAAAACTCAGGGGAGGGGAGGTGCTCTGGCAGTGCTATTACGCAGGTGAATTGGAGGGGAGACTGTTGGAAGCCAGGTCATCAGTGCTTATCTTTAGGGGTCCATGTACAGTTAAGGCTCACTTCTTCCAGCCCTAGCACAGTGGGCACATTCAGGAAGCTGTGAGTTACTTTTTCCCTTGCCTACTGGGTACCTGGCCACCAAGCCAAGAACAGAACATTTTCCCTAAATGGCCAGGCTCCTTTCCCACTTACTGAACCCCACATGTCCCAGGCCACAGACCACACATTCCTGCAGAAGTGCAACTACCATCATAGTACTAACCCACTCTACGCCAGACCCAGGATGCCCCTGCCTGAGTTCACCATCAAGCACTATGCAGGAAAGGTCACATATCAGGTGAGACCCTGAGCCTGCTGGCTGGCCTTACCCTTGTCTAATGCCCCCACCAGTCAGGTATCTAGAAGCATGGCATGGGCTCTGGTTCCTGCCCTTGCCCAATGACCTACAGGCATGACCATGGGCAAATATGAGCTGCTTTTTCCTCATATGAAAAATTAGGATAATAAGCCCTTCTAATAGAAGCCTGTGGTAAATTTGATAAAGAGTATTTATTCTCAGTAGTACTGTCACTGAGGTCACCTTATCCCTATTATCTGAGGTCCATCCCTGTCCAGATGTGTTCGGAGCCAGGGTCCTAGGACTCTGTCTCCATATGGGCCTTATTTTTTCCATCTGTATTATAAGAACAGGGCAATGTCCTCCCCCGAGTGTGAGAGTAAAGACCCAGACTGGCCATATGAGGTTCTGGCTAATGCTCTCAGGGAATAGGGTAGATGGCAGAGAGGGGACCAGAGCACAGGGGAGGGCCCAGCCCCTCCTGGGATGGACAAAGGGGACAGGCAAAGAGGGGGGCCCTCCTCCTGCCCTCACAGACCTCTGACCTATCAGAGGGAAGGCAGAAGCGGGGAAGCCAGTTGCTGCAGTTGAGGGCATCCTGGCTGCTCTCAGAATGCTCCACCTGGAGGATAATGGCCAACTACCCCTGCTGCCCATCTTCCCTGTGTCAGGTGCACAAGTTCCTGGATAAAAATCATGACAATGTACGCCAGGATGTAATGGACTTGTTTGTACGGAGCCGGGCAAGGGTGAGTCCCCCAGCCCAGTCAGGTTTGTCTTTCAACCCTAACACCTAAGTGCTGCCCTGGCTTAGCCTGGCCCTGCCCTGTGTGGCTCGCCCCAGACTTGACCCCACCTCCACCCAGTTTGGGGAAGGTCCCAACTATAGCCCACTCCCAAGCCTGCACTTGCCAACCTTGGCTCAGCCTTGTGCTTGTCCCTTTTTCAGCCCTGCTCCCTGGCTGGCCCTGCCCGTGGTGAGACCTACCACCCATGTCCTAAGCCCACAGTGGGCCAGCAACTAACCCTCCTTCCCCCTCTGCTGTAACCACACAATAGGCCAGAGCACCTATCTAGTTGGAATCTGTATTCTTGGTTCCCTGATATGGGCCTCAGGGAAGGTCTCCTGCATGTTCTGGGCCTGCACTTGTCCTCTGTTAAGTGTACACCTGTCCATGGCCATGTAGGCGACAGGCCTACTGCAGGCCAGGTGCTTACTCAGTGTCCAGTGTGTGTTCCTCACTGTCAAGGGAGAAATATCCACAACCCAGCTGTGGGGCAGACTCCGGAAATGGTGAATGTCATAGAGCGTTTGAGCCAGAGGACAGGCCTCACAGATGGGCTGGCTCAGCTTTTGCATCCTGTTCTGAGAATTCCTTTTTTTCTTACTGCTTTGCTCACTCTTCTTGCCACTTTCCCCTTCATTCTGTCTCTATCTTCTGGGTACCCCCATCTCTACATCTCTTGGTATCTTGACCTCTGAATGCACACAGGTTGTGGCACACCTGTTTGCAAGTCATACCCCCCAGGTGGCCCCTCATCGCTTAGGCAAGAGCAGCTCTGTCACCCGGCTTTACAAAGCGCACACAGTGGCTGCCAAGTTCCAGCAGTCCCTGCTGGATCTGGTGGAGAAAATGGAGAGGTAGGTATGGCCGCTGGCAAGGGTGCCCTCTCCTGTTCAGTTCACAGCTCTTGGTGGGACAGAGGCTTTCTGGGGCTTCATGCTGGCCTGTGCCCCTTCACAGGTGTAATCCTTTGTTTGTGCGCTGCTTAAAGCCCAACCACAAGAAGGTGAGTAATGGCTGAGTACCCCATGCTGGGGAACCTTAGGCAAGGCCCTTTATCTCTCCAAACCTTCACTTATCGCCTCCACTGTGCAGCTATTCTCCCACCCCTGCCCTGGTCATGTCCCCCACAGGAGCCTGGCCTCTTTGAGCCAGAGGTTGTAATGACACAGCTGCGCTACTCAGGAGTGCTGGAGACGGTGCGCATCCGAAAGGAAGGCTTCCCAGTGCGGCTGCCCTTCCAGGTGTTCATCAGCAGGTACTGGTCAGGGACTCCAGGGTACAATGCACTCATGGACCACAGCCCCGGAGGACCAGATTTGCCACACACAGTTACTCAGACCACATGCTACATACTAGCTGTTGCCTGGATAGTACCATGACTGTGTATTTAAAAGTTTTATATCTTGTGATATAAAAGGTAGTTTGGGGGATAAAAGGTAGTTTTGATAGTTTTGATGATTAATTTCCAGCAAACGTCAGTAAAACGTCTTGTACTGAAATTGTAAAGGCGTGCTAGTGGCCTAGCCTATAGGGGTTTGCACTGCCAGCCTGAAGACTGTACCTTCTATGGTTTGAATCCACTAGTAGTTCTTTCACAGAAAGAGGGACAGTCTCCTCTCATATGATTCATAGCCTCTGCAAACCCACTGGAGAGTCCACTGTGGTTCCAACCTGATGATAGTGAGTGAATGAGTGACTGAAATAATACATGGTGACAATTCTCCACACCCAGTGATCTTGAGGACAGACCTCCTTTTCCTAATGAGATTATGGCTGGAGCTACCATGGGACCAATGTTCCAGAGAGAGATGGTGACCCTCTGGTCTTCCAGACTTACAGCATGGGTCTTGTGGCCCCACAGCCCCCAGCTGAGTTTGGTCTTCATAGGTACCGCTGTCTACTGCCCCTTAGTCACAGCCTGCCAGCCACTGGGGACACCTGTGTGTCGATGCTGAGCCGCCTATGCACTGTCATGCCTGCCATGTACCGTGTTGGTGTCAGCAAGGTGAGCCACTGCTCCACCCCTCAAATAGCCAGTCTGAAGCCCTCTCTCTCGACTGATTTGGTGGAGGGCATGCTGAACCTGTCTCTGGACCTTTGCACAGGCAGCTCCAAGTGCCTAGCTTCACTATCACTTTTTCTTTCACTTCTCTGAACCCAGCCCATTCCTGGAGACCTGTTCTCTCTCCATATAGTTCTAAAGAGGAGGGAGCCCCTCCATGCAGCATCCTGGCCTTTAACTGCCTGAGTGCCCACCTCCTGTCCCTAGCTGTTTCTTAAAGAACACCTGTACCAGCTGCTTGAGAGCATGCGAGAACGGGTCCTGCACCTGGCAGCTCTCACCTTGCAGCGCTGCCTCCGTGGCTTCTTCATCCAGCGACGATTCCACTCACTGCGCCACAAGATCATCCTATTGCAGAGCCGGGCCAGAGGCTACCTGGCCAGGTAGGGGACAGCAGACAGGACAGGTAGGGAACAGTAGCCAGTCCTAGGGACACTGCCAGAATTTAGATAATGAACATCTTGTATATATACAAGCAGGAAGTGTCAGGTCTACTCTGCCTCAACTTACATCTCAGGATCCTGATGGGATAAATAGTTCAATCAAGTTAATTTGGCCTTAACGCTTAACTTGTTGTGTGACTTTGGCTAAGTCAATTCCTTTTTGAGCTCCAGTTTCAAACCCTTGGGCCGGAGAACCCCAGAATGAAGTGTGGACACAGGCTCCCAGAGCAGGCCAAGATAGACTTTCTAACCATTTGGTTACCTGTGACCCCAATCCCTGACCTCCCTCCTCCAACAAGACACCTTCTGCCACAGGCAACGGTATCAACAGATGAGGCAGAATCTAGTGAGGTTCCGGTCCCTGGTGCACTCATACATAAGCCGAAGGCGTTACTTCAAGGTAAGACCCCTCTTCGTCCCTCTCCCTGGAGCCAGGCCCTGCCAAGCCTGTTCCCACAGAACAACACTCAGCACCCAGGTGGTTTGGGATTTACTTCTCTCCCTCACACCCTAGTCTTAGCTTCCTGTGTGCTCTTTTGGATTATGGAGAAGATTACATGAGATGTTGTAGGTGAAGCTTCATAGTGGAATGAATCTTAAGTAATTGGGAATGAGTAGAAGGGTCATCTGAACCACATGAGGTATGGTTCTGCTCCTGCTGTGAGCAGTATTGGCCTGTTGTCAGGGAAACAGCCTCCACCAGATAAGACATTCTCCTCTCCAGAGCACCAAGAGGAACTGCATTGAAGAACACTGAAAGGTCCAGTGGAGTCACCGCTAGAAAAATCTCCTTGCATCTCTCTCTTCCCCTGAAGTTCTCTTCGCCAATTGTCTCTGTCTTTCCTCAACTTTATATCTCTGGCCACACCTCTTCTTCCCCCTGTGCATCTGTGAAGTGGTCGCTATGGTCCAGGCTGACGGGTGGGGGAGGTTATTTACTCCTTCATCCAAAGATCAGCTCCAGTGCATGCTGATGTACACTTGCCCCAGTGTGGGGGGCTATCAGCACCCTTTCTGCCTTGCTTGCCTTGGCCAAGCAGCTGAGAGCAGAGCAGGGGTGCTGAGAATGGACGGAAGAAGGTAGAAGAAGGACTTGAGTAGTAGCTGGTACAGAGAGAAGGCTGGTGCGGGTGTGGAAAACTGGACTCCTCACATACTCTGTTCCTCCAGGAGCAGAGCAAACGGGAGGTAGTTGCTGTAGAACACTTGGAAGTACCTGCTGATCTTGCTGGGCTCCTGCACGCAACAGCAGCAGGTACACTGGCATTGACTGGTTGTGGGACAACATGGCATGGATATGGGTAGACACAGCATCCAAGCACTCATGCCCTCTGCAGGCCTCAGGCTGCCGCAGGTGCCCCAAGTGGTGCTGATGCAGACCCCCAGGCTCCAGACCGAGTTCCGGGTCACACTTCCCCTGGATATCAACAATTATTCCATGGCCAAGTTTGTTCGATGCCACTTCAAGGTAAAGGCTGGCCAGTGAGACCTGACCAGTCTGAGCTGACATGGTCCTTCCCAGGAGTAGGTTGTGCCTGAGGTGTAGGTTTAGCCCCTTCAGCTGCTAGTTCATAGAGAACTTGAGGGGTATCTTTGGGGTCCAGATTGCTGTGACAGGCCCCTAGGGGGATGTGGGCAGCCACAGCATGTCAGCTTAGTCCTGTAACTTCCTGCCCTCCAGGGCTCATCCTGTTTTTACACCATTCACTAAGGCTGGTGTCAGCCCCTCCCTGTAGCTGTCTCCGTATCCACACGTCAGGGATGAGAACTCCTGCTTGGCAGGACCTGGCAGAGCTGGCATTCCTAATGTGCCTTCCTATACCTCCAGGAGCCTACCTTTGGGATGCTGACAGTGCCCCTGCAGACCCCTCTCACATGGCTACCGGCTGAGCACCACAGGGAAGCGCTGAGCATCTTCAAGCTGGTATGGTGATGGTACCTGCCCCCTGCCACCTTCAGTCTCACAGTATTTCCCCTGGAGACCATGCAGCTCTGCTGTCTTAGTCTGTAGGGATCTGTGCTGCTAACCCAAAGGTGTTTCAATCTACTAGCAATACTGCAAGAGAAGGATGGACAATCTCTACCTCTCAGAACATACTGGAACATCAACGATGAGTTGGTGCTGACTCCACAGCAATGAGACAAGTGTAGTTTTCCTTGAAACCCCCCTAGGACTGCTCTCCTAGATCTGCATTCTCCTAACCTGTGAGACTTGGGCTTCTCTTTAGAGTGACCCTTAAGTCATTGGGATGATTTTTCCTCTTTCCAGCCTGAAATATGGGGGTTGGCAGCATTTCTTCTAGCCACTTTCCTGGAAAAAAGTACTTCCTCAGAACCTCTATTGAGTCCCTTCACAACACTGAAAATAGGACCCAGGTGCTCATTCAAGGACTAGTCTCTGTCTGATGGAAAGGCAGAGAAAATTATTATAGTCTTGAGTTAAGCACAGAAACTAGGGAGTCCAGATGAGGCCTCCAACAAGCAATCAGATAGTGTTTGCTGCAGGAGGAGACATCTGAGCTGAATTGGAAAGCACAGGCATAATTTTCCAGGCAGAGAGAGCAGAGCAGGCACAGAGAGAACAGGAAATTGATGTGGTCAGAACAGGTTGAGTGAGCAAGGGTGAGAGGGTTCAATCAAGCCAAAGCTTGGGTTTCATCCCGTGGTCACTAGATAGCTGTGGAAGACACTTAGCATGGATGATGTGTGGTCACTTTTAGAAAGGACCCTTTAGAGCCTAGGTGGGAGCTAAGGGGGTCTGTGACACTTGAGCAGGACAGAGAGCTTTGATTCTTTGATTCTTGATTTGTCCTGTCGTTAGGTGAACTGGCAGCCATGTGGCATGAAACAAAACAAGCCTGATGATGCTGTGGAGACCCCGGCCCTCTGCCTCCTCATTGTGACCCTCTGTCAGGGTCTCAGGCTCTGCAGTAGGGGCCTGCAATGGTGTCCCTGCACAGTGGCTGCTGGATTGAAATTATCATTTGGTTAGCAGCCGCATATGCAATGAACTACCAGTGTTCCTAACTTGGCCCAGAATATGGCATTTTTACTGTGATAGAGGGCCATCTGTGTGGATGTGGAGACTCATGTAAAGGATCCATGTGAAGGACATGAGAGGACTTGCTAGTGTTAGTTGGGGAACCTGGCAGGAACATGTCTCTGAGAGGCCCACTCAAGTCTGTTGTTCCCCAGGTACTGCGTTTCATGGGTGACCCCCATCTGCACAGTGCCCAGGAACAGGTCTTTGGGAACTACATTGTGCAAAAAGGACTGGCAGTGCCTGAACTTCGTGATGAGATCCTGGCACAGCTGGCCAACCAAGTGTGGTGCAACCCCAATGCCCACAATGCCGAGCGGGGCTGGCTATTGCTGGCCACCTGCCTCAGTGGCTTCACACCTTCCTCACGTCTCAACAAGTACCTCCTCAAGTAAGTGGGTCTGGGAAGGGCTCAGGGTATAATGGACAGTGATGTTGGAAGCAGGGCTCAAGAATGAATCGTCAAGATCAGACCAGGAGTGAGGTTTCCATGTTTGGAGACTCAGGAGTCTGGCATGAGTCCACCTCCGTTGTGGTCTGAGTAAGAGAGAAGGGCAGGTCTGTGCTTCACAGGGTGGGATTCCGATCACCCTGGACAGAAGGCTAACAGAACTGAGGGTGGTAACTCCAGAATGTAGTGGATTTGGAAAAGATTGTTCTTGGCATCACATGGTGTAGGAGGGTAGCAGAGTAGTTAATATCATGGACTTTGGACTGAGAAAATCTGGGTTCAAATCCCATCTCAGCCACATATGTGATGCGTGAACCATGGACAAATTACTTGACCTGTCCAGGCCTCAATTTCCTCATCTGTACAATAAATATAGCAGGATAATGAAAACAAAAACCCAAGCTATGCCATCAAGTAAATTCTGACTCATGGTAACCCTGAGGGACAGAACAGAACTACCCCAGAGGGTTTCCAAGGCTGTAAATAGTTTTTTTATTGTGATTTCAATGGAAGTTAACAGAAAAGTTGGATTTTCATTCTTTCATTTTTGCACATTTGCCTCCATGCCACCTCCAGTTCACTTTTTAAAAAAACACCTAACAAATCCACATTCATTTATTGTTGCACAATTTCCTCCCTCACCCACAAGGTTGTAAACCTTTACAGAAGCACACTGATTCTTCTTTCTCCTGAGGAACAGCTGGTGGATTTAAACTGTTAACCTATTGGTTAGGAACAGAATTCTATAACTATACTTAATTTGGTTGATTCCTTAAGCAGTGTCCTTAATGATAATGGTTGTTGTTGTTGTTAGGTGCCATCAAGTTAAATACAACTCAGGGACCCTATGAACAGATCTGAACCCAGTCCTATCCTGTGCCATCCTCACACTTCCTAACACATTAGCCCATTGCTGCAGTCATTGTATCACTCTATCTTGTGGATGGTCTTCCTCTCTTTTGCTGATTTTCTATCTTTCCAAGCATGAGGTCCCTTTCCAAGGAATAACTTCTCCTATGCCTAGCCTCCAAGAAGCACTCTGGCTACACCTTCTCCAAGACATATCTGTTCTTCCGGCAGACCATGAGATATTTAGTACTGTTCTCCAACACCACAGCTCAAAGGCATCAATTCAATGATAATGGTAGTTTTGATATAAAAATTATAATGAAATCATAGTCATATTGTGTCTTAGAGAAAGTGCATCTGAGATGCTCTTTAGGGGTAAGAATGGTGAAACTTTGCTTTCATACTTTACACATATTAGAAGGGGCCACTCCTTGGAGAAATACATCATACTTGAAAAAGTGGAGAGTCAGTGAAAGATAAGAGGACCCTCAACAAGATGGATTGACAGTTACTGTAACAATGGATCCAAGTATATCAGAGATGATGATGATGACACGGGATAGGGCAGGATTCAGATTAGTTGTTCATATGGTTGCTATCAGTCATAGTAAACTTGATGGCACCAAATAGCAACAACCGTATAGGTTACTGAGGATTAAGTATGTAAGACATATGAAGTGCTTAGAATAGGAGCCCATACTGTGTGATCATAGCTGCTACCACCATCCTTTTGTTTGAAGATGATTTCTACGGAAAACTCTCTGGCAGGTACAGATCCTAGCTCTGGCATTTATCTATTATGTAACAAGCCGGTCACTGCCCATCTCTGAGCCTGTCTCCTCCTCTCTGAGAGGGGCCTTTGAGGTTTGTTTACAGAGCCTTGAGCTCACTTGATTAATCTTAGAGTTCTGGTATCAGATGTGCTGGCAGAATAGGGTCATCTGCCCATAGCATGTCTCTTGCTCCCTCTCATGGGCTCCCTCTCATACAGCCCACGGCCATGTCCACATCAGATAGTAGGAGGGAAACGCAGGCAGGCATTAGGAGCGCCTAGCCCACAGGCAGAGGTCTGACTTATTAGCCTGGGTCCACAATCAAATCCTCATAGCCATGTTTTATAAAATGATAACTTTGAGGTTCAAGAAGGGCAGGTAACATTAGCAAGAGTTGGCTGGTAGAAGAAAAGGAGCAACAGTGCAAGCCTAGGCAGCTCGGGGTGGGGTGGGGGTGGCAGAATGTAGGTTTCTGTCCACTCTCAGCTGCTGGCCTTATCCCATCAAAGACTTTTGGCTCCAATAAGTGGATCTGTGTTTGACCCAGTAGTGTGTGCTGGCATGAAGCACTGCACTAGCTTATCCCTAAAATCCAGAACATCCTGGAATCTCTCAGTCTCAGAGCTCTAACCTAGCCCAAGACCTTTCTTAGTTTTCAGCCTTGCCTTGGAGCTCTGGGCCTAACCTGAATCTCCCATCAGTCTAGCCTTAAGACACCCCACCATGGGACTATGTCCTGATCCCTCTTGGTTCTGTCTCCAACCTCTTCTACCAGGTTTGTGTCTGATTATGGGCAGAATGGCTTCCAGGCTGTATGTCAGCAGCGGCTCATGCAGGCCATGGGCCAGGCCCAGCAGCAGGGCTCTGATGTCTCTAGAACTTTCCCCCCAACGAAGCTCGAGTGGAGAGCCACGCAGGAGAAGGCCAACATGGCTCTAGATGTGGGTTGTTTCAATGGTGAGTTGACCTTTCCACCCTTGAGGTTTTCTTCCTTGGAATGAGGAGAAATTGCAGAAAGTTCTTGAGCTAGGACAAGCCTGCTCAGGTGTGGCTTAAGGCCTGGGGGGGG